GAGGGAAACAAATAACAATTTGAAATGTTTGGGTATACTGTTCCATTTCTTTTTGATGCAGCTCTTATGTGCTAATTCTGTGCAAATATGGGGCTGAGATAATGCAGGCTTGAACTGGGTTAGGAGCAACATAGCAGGGCTGTTTCGCAGCAGTTTTGGAGTGTTATGGTAGTGTTTAGAGATAGCATAGCAGGGTTGTTTTGTTCAGGACAACAGACTGTCTTCTAGACATGATTTTGAGCTTATAGTAAGCAGGCTTGGACTTGGCAGCATATTGTAGCATGGTACAAAATCTGGTTTGTGGACCAATTTATGCAGATTTTAAGAAAGACAAAGCATAGTGGCAAGGTTTTTAGTCAAAAGGAAAAAAATTCAAACAAGACAAAGCTTTAGGATTTGTAAATTTGCAAAAATGCAACCTTGTAATAACTTGAATTATTTGTAACACCTTGAATTATTTGTAACATCTTGAATTATAGTGAAAAGATGTCATGAAGTAATGAAATTAACAAGTATACAAATTCTTAGAAAAATTTCTAAGCCTTGCAAAGTTGGATTTTTGACTCTCTTGATTTTTGATGATCAAATTTCATATTTTGAATTGTCTTGATGAAATGTGATTTTTGAAACTCAAATTCGACCAAAAGTCAAAATTTTAACTTTTCAGTGTACTGTCGACTTTTTCATCAGCTGGCCACATTTCACCTGTCAATCGGGAGATGAATTGAAATATGCAATTAGGTCAAAATGATGTATTTGAACCCCTGATATCATGTTTCGAACCAATAAGTCATGTACTGGGTCGAAAATCAAAGATTAGTCATTCTCAGTCGAAACCCTAATTTGGAGTCTCAGTGCTTCGGAGATGATTTTGTCTGATAAATTCCTTGAGAATCCTTGAAAAAGAGAGGGAAAATTTTGTGGTACAACACAGGTATAGCAGGGGGATTTTTGGTTTGCACTAGGATCTTCTGAATCAATGTTGGAAATAACTTTGCATAGCTCATTGGGATAGCATCAAAAGCTTCACTTTTTTGACCCTACCCTTGATTACTTTGTTAGGGTTCTCTTTAATATGCAACAGCAGTTAGAGTTATGTTAACAACCAGAGTTGTTGAAGCAACTTGTTGTTGGATCTGATGACGTCTTCTAGGAGGTTTAACCCTTCTCTCTTGAACAACATCATTTTTATCCCCTTCTTTATTTCTAGCAAACCCGTATGATGGTCTCCTTGTACCACTGGAAACTTCATCTTTTGTCAAACGGCCTTCTCTCAGAGCTTCTTCTAAGTGAACCCCCATACCCGCCATTTCGGTGAAATCACTTGGTGCACTCGCCACCATTCTTTCATAGTAGAAGGAACCGAGAGTCTTTGGAAGATCTTTGTCATATTTTTCTCTTCCATTGGATGGATCACCTGGGAGGCTACTTCGTGCCATCTTTGTGCGTATTCCTTAAGCGACTCCTTATATTTCTGGACCATAGCTCTGAGTTGATCACGGTTAGGTGCCATATCCATATTATACTTGTATTGTATAACAAACGCTTCACCCAAGTCGTTGAAGGTATGAGTATTGGCACTATCCAAGCTCATGTACCATTTCAATGCAGCAACAATCAAACTGTCTTGGAAAAAATGGATTAGTAGGCGTTGGTCGTTAGTGTGGGTGGAAATTCTTATCACATACATCACAAGTTGGGCACGAGGACAAGTATTGCCCTTGTATTTCTCGAATTCCAGCACTTTGAACTTTGCAAGTACTTTTACATTTGGAACCAAGAATAGATCACTGACATTCTGTCCAAACAACTCTTTTCCCCCGAGGGCGTTCATTTCCTTTTGCATCTCATTGAACTAATCTTGGAAATCATCCATTCTTTCATAGAATCCCAATCCTTCACTTGGTGGAGGAGTAGTATGATGAACCACATCATTAATAACAGGGACGACGTTCATTACAAGAGGTATAGCATCGAGAATCTCATTGTTAACAGTAGGAGTAACGTGTACCACAGGAGGTGAAGAAACCATAACTTGTTGAACATGATGAGCAAATAGGGCAGTAGGGTTATATCCTTCTGGCATATAACCTTAGGGTATTCCCTAGGGATAACCAGGAGGCATGCAATGCGGAGCAGCGGTAATATTTGGGACAACTGAGACGGGAACTATCATAACCTCAAAGATAGTCGTTGTTTGTTGTGGTTGTGTAGCATGAGGAGGTGGAGGAGGTGGTAGATGATTCTGAGCAGCCACCAATGAATCTACCAAAGCAGTCAAGTTTTCTATTTCGGTCCTTAAAGCGGTAACCTCTTCGCACAACTCATGATTCTCATGTTCGATATTTTCCATCTTCTTCGTAGAGTTGGCTCGAGTGTTATACCGGTGAGATAACTTGATTCTGGAGACCAAAGGATCTTGAGTAATACTTCTGGGAAACTCATGAAATGCGCAATTAAATGCAACATGATGCATGACGTGCAATACGAATGCCATGTTCTCGTCTCCAAGAGTTAATACGCTTTGATTCCTACTATTAAGCAATAGTATTTTTCTTAATAATATTCATTTTTAGCGGCTTAACAATTGGAATCAATGAAATGATACTAGGGAGCGAATCAACACGTGCTATAATAATTACATTAACATGTTATGTATGCAAACATGTAGGATCAAAACTTCTGCAATACCTGATAGCTGCTGAACTGATAACAGAACCACAGTCACATGTTGTAAGATCGAAGGTCTGGATCAATTCATAATACCAAAGAACCAAAGTCACCAACAAAACATAATCACCACCTATACCTCTAAAGATGATTCCCTTCCCACTCACGGGTCAAGACTAGATCAGGGTAAGGCAAAGGTAACTCAGAATCAAGGATACTCGTGAAAAACTATTGCCATATCACCTAAGTGAAAATGATAGCCCCACATTTGTACCTCATATGAGCATGGACGCCATGATGGCAATAGTGAAACCTAAGTCAACTATCCATTCATGTTCCACTCTACTCTTAGGGTTCCTATGTTTTTCACTTGGCCATGGTATTGGGGCTTTTACCTCAATAGTAACATCCCACCTAATCTGAAAAACCAGCAAATCCAGTAAAACAATAATAACCAGTATATGAAAAGCGATAAAATGCAATGCATACATATACTCAGATGTATACAAATGAATAAGTTATAAAGCATGAAAATAAACACCTAAAGAAAAGAAAAACGGGAGCTAGGAGTGACTCACGAGATGGACCAGCAATTGGTCATCTTTTCCCTAGTGAAGTCGCCATTTTTCTGTAGTGGTAAAATCAACCAAGTCTCCACTGAGTATTTATTTATCCCACATAAAGGGAAAGGAAAATCATCAAATAAAAAACTGAAGGGAGAAATCAAGGTCTTGCAACCGAGAGATTGGGTAAGGGAGTCGATTATGCGAGGGGAAGGCATTAGCACCCCTCACATCCGTAGTACTCTATGTGATCCACTTTTTTTGTTCTAATCAAAGGGTGTGTTTAATCTAATGCTTAAGAGCCATAAAAACTAAGAGGCAATACATGCGAAGAAAAAACGGGGAAAAGAAGGTAATATTTACAAATTTTTGCTCGGCTGAGCCCTGTGACCAGATGCCTACGTATCTCTTTTAAGGAATCAGAGCACCGTAGTCTGGCTCACAAATTCTGTTTGTTTGTATTTTTTAAATGAATAATTCTAAACTCAATCATTCCACCGCTGCTCGACCATTGGAGACTCACACATTGTTGTTGAAAGGAATCAACACGTTCTTAGAAGAGAAAAGCATAATGGAGAAAATAAATGGATTAGTTGGTGTTTTTTTACAATGAAAAAAAAGTTTTAGTTTTAAATGCAATTATGCAAAATGGGAAGAAAACCTCTAAGGGAGACTAACCTATCTCTAACCTAGTGTTATCATACAATGATGGCCCTATGTCAGGGATGGAAAGGTAAATATCTACCCTATGTTAGCATGCATGGATAATTATCCTAATGTCTAACTCAAAAGTTATCCTAATCGAGCAACCATAAGGGAACATGCAAAGATCGAAGTCGTTATTTGAATTCTAATTGAGTGACATCATCGATCATCAACAAAGAAAAATAAAAATCCCATGGGGAGCTTGCAAAAGATCAAAGTCGTTGTCTCAATTTTAATTGAGTGACATCAACGACCATCAACAAAGGAAAGTAAAAATCCTAAGGGGAGCATACAAAAGATCGAAGTCGTTATCTCAATTCTAATTGAGTGACATCATCGATCGTCAACCCATGAAAATAAGCACAAACACAGTTAGCAAACAAGTGCAGAATTCCTGCTACAAGTCTTTAAACAGCGACTTCGAGCGCACGCTCTTTATTTCCTACTTATCATGATATCTAGAAAGCAATAAAATGCGGAATGATAAATTAGAGGCAGTATAATACCAAATGAACAATAATGTCCGTAAAAAGCACAACCAAAGTAAAGAAACCTAGAATACATTGTGCGAGCTGGCATCAACAAACAAACACTCAGAGATCGGATGCTCGAAAATAGGTGTCAAAGCATCATCGATATAAAAATAAATCACAATCAAAAACTCAAACATGTCTGCATATCAAACAACGAACCTGCATAAGACTCAACCCAACAAGAAAAAGTGAATCGCAAGTCTCAAGTAATCGAAAAATTAGGGATTAATTTCCAAAAATAAAATAAAAAAGCTAAATTTTTTTATTGATTTTGTAGTTTTTTTATCATAAAAAAAATCCCGAATTGTGTTTATTTTTTATTTATTATATGTATTATTATATTTTTTTACTATTTTTTATAAGAAAATTGGAAGAAATTTAAACTAAAAAAAAAGCTAAAAAAACAAACCAGAGATTAAGATTAAAAAAAGTCAGAGGGGTAGAAATCTGATTTCAGGGGGTGCTATAGTAAAACTAGGCGTTAGGCCCCTCATTAAGGTCCAAATAGCAGTTTTTGTCACAAGAAACCATGCTGCCAAAAAAATCAGTTATGGGCTTTGGGGGGTGCAGTCAGGAACCAGGTGGTATGGCAGAAACAGTCTGGGCACTAAGCTCCAAGTCAGAAGCCTTGGAAGATGGTTTTACTGGAACAATATTCATTTTGTTCAAAAACATGGTGCACGGGCCTCACTGGGAGGTGCAAGTAGGATCCGATAAGCATCTGGCTTCCAAAAGAAAAACTCAACGGGCCTAAGAAAACACAAGATTCGGTCCAACTCAACAACATTACACAATATCACTAAGTCCATCAGATTTTTATTCCTAAGTTATATTCCAATTAACAAAATTAATTAAAAAGAAATAATGGAGGCTAAGAGAAACGTTGTCGTTTTCCAATTGTTAGGGTAAAATATATCGTAACGCTCCAACTTCTCAATATTAACACGATCTTCTTCTCCCTCCTTCAGATTGTTCACAATGGCGGCACAATTCCTGCCATGGCAACTCTTCATCGATTCACTTCTGTTCTAACTCGATTTCTGCGCATTATTCGCTCAAGTCTCAACATCGATCCAATTTCGACATCCTCCTTCGCGCATCGTCACGTCTCAAACGCTCTCTTGCTCAACATCGATCCAATTTTGACATCCTCCTTCGCGCATCGTCACGTCTCAAATGCTCTCTTGCTCAACCAGGACAATCCACTGAACTTAGATCTAAATGCGTTCACAATACAAAGTGATTTCGCGATTACGTGGTTATGAGTACAGCAGTTCGGTTAACATCGTAGCGAGAAAAGAATCGAGTAAAAACATAAGGAAGAATGGAGGCTAGAGGCTTACCGATCGGAGTTCATTTGATGTGTCTCGACAGCAGTGTTAACGAGAACCTCAGGTAATAATTCTTGCTCGTTATTCTTCTACTTTCACTTTATGCATTTGAATCCGCTTCTCTGATTCAATGTGTTGCTCTCGTTACGTGTTGCACTGAATGAAAGTATTATGGTTGGAGCTCCTGATATCTTTGCAGAAGTGGTAGTTGAAGAAAGATGATGGATATTGGAGTGAAGTTGTAAAGGGAGAAAAAAGGTGGAGTTCGAAGTAGGAGGTTGAAGATGAAGATGCTTGAATATTTGAAGTAGAAGGTTATGGTAATGAATTTTCAGAGATTTCAGAGAGAGAAAAGAGCAGAAAATCTCTGGTAAGTGAATCGTGAAAACTCCATCCCCCTCCAATTCTGTTATAGTCATGTTTATATAGGTTGAGTGAGAAGTGATCTCAGTTTTTAGATCTTAGAGAGTTGGTTAAGGGATCAGGGGTTGGTTAGAGGAGGTTCAAAAATCGGTTAGAAGTTAGTACTAGGTTGTTAGGTAGTTAGTTATGAATGAAATTAGAAGTTTATTTTTTGTTTTGGTTGTTGTAGAAGTTATTTATCAAATTGTTTTCTGTTAGTGAAGTTTGTTAGAGGTAATGATATCTCAACCCTTGGCTTCTAAATTTCGGTTATAGATTGATGGAGGAGATTGAAACTGATAGTAGTCAGTTTGGAAAATAGGGAGTTTAGAAGCTGTTTATTGGATTCTATTAGTTGGTTTATGAGTTGGATTCTCTCAGAAGTAGATTAACCGAGCTGGAAAATTGATTGAAAAATTGAGAAAATTCTGTTTTAGAAGTTGTTTAGACCATTAGGAAAGTTAGTTAAAGAAAAGTTGTCATGACCTGATAGTTTTGTCGGTTAGTTAAGCTAAAGTGAAGTAGTTAGTTAAGATTTAGAAATAACACTTGTTAGTTATTTATTTATTTTCTGTTACAGACAATCAGTCGCTTAGCAAACCATTAAGAGGTTTGCTTAGAATTGACAGTTGGTTTTTTATTATATAGGGTCCAATTTGGATTTTATTTGGTTATTTGATGCAGGCTGTTAAACTATTTTTCTGATTGAACTTGTGGACTATTGAACTGAGCTGTTTATTGTGTTTGTGAACATGGTTAGACTGCCACAATTTGGATTCAAGTTTGGTGCAGGCCTGGAACCATTTTGGCAGGATTTTGACAATGTATGCAGGGTCGATTAAGTCTGACTGTCAAGTTGGTTTTGAACTGGTTTTTTGTTGTGAACTGGTTTTTGGTTGGATGCAGGTTTGGGCATGTCTAAAACAGGTCAGTAGGAATGTTAATGTCAACACTGGTGCAAAACCTTGGGTTCATTTAAATTTAATTCGATACAGCTAGGACATGGCATAGTTTGAATTGTGGACATGAAGCATTTGAAAGCGCATAAGCAAAGTTAAAGCTTGGTGATGAAGAGAGCTTGGGCACAAGTATAATCTTTTGAAGAGGAATTGAATTGAATATGTAGGATAAATTGGAAATTTTGAGTTTTGTGATGTATTTCGTATTATTGCAATTGAACCTTGTTGCAATGTACCATGTAATGGAATTTTGAATATGGTTAAAAGTGTACGTGTTCTAGTTCTTGATTTTGTAATAGCCATGGTTGAATTAGAAAAAAAAAACTTTGAATTAATTCACTTATCTTTGAATTTCTTCTCTTGTACTTACGTCTTCTCAAAATGTATCTTGAATGAATGTATGTTTTTTCAATTGTTGACCTTTGCTTTGCTTATTGAACTTCGAGTAACTAAAGCGATGTAAGGCAAGAACTCTTTTCCTTCAAATGAAATTGAACTTTCAAGTCCTTTCCACTACTTGTAATCTTAATCGAATCATTATGCATCCAATGAATCTTTTTTCTTGAATTTCTTAAATATCATTCATTGTGAAGGCATGGCATATTGGAATCCCCTTTAAAGATTTGCACTCTGGACCATGATAAACGCTCTTGAGATTACACAACACCATGATGAATAACTCCACTTGAAATCCTTCCTTGAAGTTTACATGGATAGAAAAGTAAACCCTAATTCATGTGGAGATGATGGTCACAAGGAGAAGGCCTTCAACGCTCAAGTTTGTATCCTTTTGGTTGTCACTTGTGAGATAGCTTATAATGCAAGTACCAATATCCTTCTCTTGTGTTAAATGAAACCAAAGTATGTTTAGAACAAGAGCTTCAAAAAATGCATTGTCAAGCCTCTGAAGTTTCCTCAAATAAACCTTGAATAAGGGCCAACTCTAATAATGACTTCTGCCTCCTCAGATGAACAATCCCTAGAAAAAGATAGATAACCCCTAATGTACCAGACCTTTAATCCCGTAACCATGGAATCAATGATATGCATGAGATGTATATGATGTGATGAGGGATCTTAGGGGCAAAAATTGGGGTATAACAAGTGTCATAATGAATCTTATGTCTCGATTGTATCTGAATGATGTTCTAAAATGAGTCTATGTCTTGATTGTATCTATGAGAGGATCAGAATGAATCTTCGCCTGATTGTATCTAAATGATGTACTGGAAGTAATCTACGCCAGACTGTATACAGAAGTGGAACAAAATGAGTCTTCGCCCGAATGTATCTGAAAAATGTATTGGAATGAGTCTACGCCCGACTGTATTTAGAAGTGGATCAGAATGAGTCTTCGCCCGACTATATTTGAAAAATGTATTGGAATGAGTCTATGCCTAGCTATATCCAGAAGTGGATCAGAATGAGTCTTCGCCCGACTATATCTGAAAACTGTATTGGAATGAGTCTACACTTGACTGTATCCAAAGGAGTATCAGAATGATTCGTCGACTGATTGTATCTAAAGGATGATAAATTGTTGACGATATTTATTTGTTCGGGAACTAACCTGAAAAGACAAAGTTAGTTTTATGAAATGTCATATTGTATGTAATGCATTGTGTAACGATGCTCTCAAAATAAATGAGAATATTATATGAGTTTCTTATGCATATGTTATGATATATGTAATTGATGTATGGATGAAATATGTCATTGGAGTGTATCAGTAGCTTCTTGTAACAACGTCTAACTGGGGAAAATAAATCCCTGACTGTTGCTGGGGATGAAGAAAGTAATCCTTCAATTTTTTCTTAGAACAATTTTATTGGGGATTTCCGCTTTCTATCTGAGGACACTCTGTTGGGGATCTTCAACTTTTTCTTGGGAAGCATTCGAGGAGAGCCGATCGTCCGTCATTCTTTATATTGACAAATTTGATTCTTATGTATCCTGACATGGGATTAAAGAGATGGATATTCCTCTGATGCGCTATCTGAACAGGCTTCAGATATGGGTATCATCTCTTCTGGAGAGGACAACATTGAATGACATCTGGTTGGAGAAGATAATTATGTTAGAGAATTTGCAGTATTGGAGAAATAAACTCTGTTGGGGAATTAAATCTTGTAGAATGCATTGAAGAAATAACCACTGATGGGGATTGGAATTTCATAGGCTGCGCTGAGGAAGTTTCCATTGTATGCTGGGGAAATGATCCCACTTCTTTATCCGCTAGGGGACCTATTGGGGAAGATGATCATGTCAAGCTATCCATCAGGGGTATAGAAGTGAACTGTTGGAAGATACCCCAATTTCTATCTAAGGGAATATTAGATTTGTTGGGGAATATATCTTTGTCGGGGATGAGCTTGTGAAGATAGCTCTGTAGAGATAGCTCCATGGAGCTTGTTCTGTGAGGATTTATGGATAACTTGAACATTATCCAAACTCATAGAGTGTTCAGTAAATGCTAATCATGTTTTCATGTATATATTTTGTAAACAGTAATCATATTCAAATGCATATGTTCATTCAGCGTAATCATTGGACGTTTTTGCAAACAAAACAGAGAGAGTAAAAATAATTTTGAATTTTGAAATATATTTAATTGTATTGATTTCGAAAGTTTGCATATAAGCATGCAATTTTATACAAGAAGACTGAAATCCTAGTAAGAGGAAATCATCGTAAAAATTTAAAAAGGGGTACAAAGTGATAAACAAAGAAAAATAGCTATGTGGAAACGATCCTATCAAGTTTCAACTCTACTATTGCCCCAATGTCTTCAAGTATCTCATCACTTGCTATCATAAGAAGATGATTAAATTGATCTGTACCATTTGAAATTGACGCTAGTAATAAAGTTGGTTGTAAGTAGATGGGTGATCCAATGGGACATAGTCGTACATTTTAATCCCTAACTTTTTCCTAGGTCGCCCTTTCGGGTTTTCAGTCCATCGGGATATCCTTTTTTTCCCAAGCCGCTCTAATTTTTTCCTGAACCCTTTTGGTTCGTCGGGATGCCCTTATTTTTTCCTAGGCATATCAACCTAGCGGGTCTCTTTTATGCGTAATATTTTTTGACTATGTTTGCGTTCACAGAGTACAGAAAATCTTTATCGTCCATGGTGGTAAATATCATAGCACCGCCAAAAAATATCTTTTTGATCACAAATGGCCCATTCGTATGTGGGAGTCCATTTTCCCCTAGGATCACCTTATAGTAGGATGATGTTCTTTATTACTAAATCACTAGCCTGGTACAACTAATGTTTGACTTTCTTGTTAAAGGCTTTGATCATGTGTTTCTGATACATCTAACCATGACAAACAACCACGAGTCTTTTTTCATAAATTAAATTTGTTTGTTCAAGTCGAGTCTGAATCCATTCGTCTTCATCTAAACCTGCGTCTTTCATAATCCTTAGGGAAGGAATCTGGACTTCAACATGCAAGACAACCTCCACACCATAGACTAAAGAGAATGGGGTTGCCCCAATTGATGTACGTACTGAAGTGCAATAACCATGCAGAGAAAATGGTAACATCTCATGCCAATATTTGTATGTC